GAGGGTTACTAGAGGGGTGGGGGAGGGGGGATGGGCTAAATGGGTAAGGGGCATTAAGGAATCTACTCCTGAAATCATTGTTGCACTATATGCTAACTAATTTGGATGTAAATTTTAAAAAATAAAATTAAAAAAAAACAAATAAAAAATAAATAAAAATAAATAAATAAAAAGAACAGATAATCCCTGGCCCCTGAAGCTGTGGGGCTTAGAGGCATCCCAGTAAGTAGAGCAAGCTGACTGCAGCAGGCCCTCCTCTGTGCACACATTACAAGAAGGGGTGCCCCGGGCGGACAACCTCGAGGATGGACCAGGAGGGCTGGCTCTGGCAAGACAGGCGCCCGAGATGCAAATGAATTCTCCTACGCGACAGCCCCACAGTTTGTGCCAGTGTGAAATAGGATTTGCAAGAGAAAAAAAAAATGTTCATTTATAAGAGCAGGCTTTTACCTAAATGATGCCTTCCAGCTGAACAGCCTAAAGCTTCTCTTGCCACCTCCAAATGTGAGCATAAGCAAGCAAGGAGGTTTGGGTTCCTTCCATTTTGCTGACAGAAAGAGGAAAAGCATCGAAAAGACATGTCGTTTGTTTAAATCTCACTGCCAGCCACAGACAGGGCCAGACACCTGTGGGGCTATACCCCACAGCCTCACCTTCTACCCATGGCCTGAAGGGGAGTTTTGGTATTAGAGGCTTTTAGAAGAAAAGCACAAAAACATCAGACAAACAGACATGTGCAAATCAACAAACATCTCAAAAAAGAAAAATCCACAGAATCTTTCCTCTTTTTCCAGTTTCCTTGTTGTTTTCACATTTTTTTGTTTTGTTTTGTTTTGTTTTAAACATATCCTATTTGTCTCCTATTTCAGAACAAAAGTAAGTTACAGACAAATGGCAAAGGGCAGCTACCCGTTATTCTTTCACCTCAAACAGTCCCGGGCTTCCATGCAAGGATACTGGACCCAATTAGCAGCTGACTACAGGGCCGGGGAAAGAGGCCACTGCCATATGAACATAGGGGAGAAGGAAAGGTGAGTGGAACCAAACAGACTGGATCTTAATGCTAATCAAACCCTCATCATTTCACAGATTGAAGGTTAGAAAAAAAAAAGAATCACCCCCAATACTGCATCCACCCAAATACTGTGGTTAAAAGTGCAGGGGCGCCTGGGTGGCTCAGTCGGTTAAGCGTCTGACTTCAGCCAGGTCACGATCTCGCGGTCCGTGAGTTTGAGCCCCGCGTCAGGCTCTGGGCTGATGGCTCAGAGCCTGGAGCCTGTTTCCGATTCTGTGTCTCCCTCTCTCTCTGCCCCTCCCCCGTTCATGCTCTGTCTCTCTCTGTCCCAAAAATAAATAAACGTTGAAAAAAAAAAAAAAAATTTAAAAAATTAAAAAAAAAAAAAAAAAGTGCAGACCCGAGTCCTACTGCCTGTGTGACCCTGGGCAAGTTACTTAACTTCTCTGTGCCTAAATTTCTTAATCTACAAAATAATAGGATTAAATGAGCTACTGCATGGGAAGAGCTCGGAACAGTACTCACAATAATTGTTCAAGAAATAGTAGCTATTATTGTTACTTTTTAAAAAAGATCAACCTGGCCCAAGCTAAATTTCATAAATGCTAAAGCTCCTATATTAGAAATCTAAGGTAAAAACCAACTCACATTTTCATTTTAAGCCAATGAGAAGGTTCCAACCCTGTTGAATGGCAGCTGCCTTTCAATCATCTGGTCTTGAGTCAATGAGAGTGCTAAGTCCTATTTATTTACATGGCAGGTGTTGTGCTAGGACATTTATCACTGTGCCTCTGGTAGTGTCTAAAACTTGACTCATCGCAGATCCAGTGGGGAAGACAGACACCCATGAATGAACTATTGCACCACGGTAGGTGCCACATAGAGGCACCAAGTGCAACAGTTCCGGGGAGAGACATATTCTCTCCTCTTGGAGGAGTCTCAGGACTCGTAGAAAACTGAGCAGGTCGCTAAGGATGGGCAGAACTCCAACAGATTGAGTAGAGCATTCAATGAACCATAAACAAAATATGTACAGGTCAAGTCAAGGAGTGGAACAGAATAAGCCCTGACCTGAGGGTTAGAGAACCTAGCTGAAACGTGTGACCCTAGAGAAGTTAGTAAATACACTGAGCCTCATTTTTCTCAGATGTAAAATGAGGATGGTATCATGTACATACAATGTTTGTATGATACTCACAAGTGCTCTGTAACATACAAGAAGTCTTGCAAACATAAAGAGGATGACTCTAGAGTCAGCCTCACACTCTTATTAATAACATCCTATAAAGTCGACCCTAGTTCCCAGGACTATCTTTGAATCAAATTCTCTCAAAACGTCCCAAAAGATAAAGATCCTAGAAATCATATTGAAATAAAACACTAGTCAAAAGTAAAGATTTTGAGATCTCATAAGTTGAGGGAACATTTACCAAAGGGAAGGGACAAGATAGGAGTAGGTAGTTTCCTTCTAGATTTTTCCTGAGAAAAGGCAAAGGAAGGTGAGCCGTTTCACTTAATGACAGAAATCCTAAAAAAAAAATGTTTGGAGATGTGCCAGGTGCAGCTTTGAGAAGGATTAACTGTGGTGGGTCCTGATCTACTATGCAAGAACATCTGCCCTAAAAACTTATCATTGGTGTGACCACAATCACCACAGGACTCAGAGAACTAATCGAGCCGAAGGCTGTATCATCAACTAAATCTACAATGACTTTGATATCTGTCAGAGTTACTCCTAGAGGAACATAAAACCCACAAGGGAAAAACACAGCCTAAGGTAAACTTGAAGGATCCTAATTTACCTGAAAGTGTAGTTCCCAGGGACGAGCTTACTTAGTTTTAATATGGCCGTATCTTCAGAAATCTTCTCTTCTCTCAGAGGTCCCTTAAGTTCTTCCCAATGGTATTGGACGATTTTATCATCATCAGTGCTTTCTTGACCATAAAGAAACATCAGTTACAACATGAAAGCACTGGGTCTCAGCACTTATCCAGCTTACACAAACTAGGGCAACTACCCAGAGATGTGAGGCTAGGAAAGCTTCATGAAATTACAAACTATCTCTCCAGAGTGTTTCTTCCCTAGGAGTATTGGGTCAGTCTGCCTCTCTATGACTATTCCACTGCGTAGTTATCCAAGGTCTCCAACACAGGCAATCTCTGGTTAAAATGCTACTGTATGAAAAAAGGAAAATCAAAAATTCTCAAACGCGTGAAAAGATACTCAGCCTCACTTAAAATAAGAGAAATGCACATTTAAATTACACTTCAAGTACTATATTTTTCACCTACCCGACTGGTAAAGACCAAAGTTTCATAACACATATTATGGGTAAAGGTGTGGGGCAAGGCCCTCTCGCAAGTCATGGTGGACTTATGAGATGCACCCTCTCCATAAAGAGTAATTTAGCACAATTTATCTTTGCCCTTGCAGTTCCTCTTTGAGGAATGTATCCTACAGGTATATTTGCACATGTGTTAAATGTCACGCTTACAAGACTATTTATGGCAACGTTCTTTGTAATAACAAAAGACCAAAAATAACCTAATGGTCATCAACAGAGATTGAATGAAAACAAGTATATAGCCATACGACGACATTATACAGCCATGTAATGGAAGGCTATGTAATCATTAAGAGAAAAAAAAAAAATGAAACACTATTTCATGTACTGACTCAAAAAATTCTCCAACCTACAGAAACAAACATTGTACATAAAAGTGTGTATTATGTGCTATCGTAAAGACTGTATACGTATTTTCATACATATGCATAGAATGCCTCTAGAAAGACCATAAAATAATACCGTTGATAGTCTGGAGGAAAACTGGACAGTTGGGAGACAAGGATGGTAGTGACTCTTCTCTTTATGCTTTTACTTACAATTTAACACTGACCTATTAAAAAATATAAAGTAAAATGGTACTATGTGAACCCTCTGTACTTCTCTCATAAGTGCTGCTTCTTGTTCTGCCTTCTCTCTTTGCCTGCTATTCTTCTACCCTCCTCTTCTCGCCAGTAACATAATGAAATGTTTAACCTTGCTAGAGATTCTTCTGCTCGTGCTCTGACTGCATCCGCCAAAAGCTGCTATTGGTGCCAAGACAATCAGTGTAATGGGGCCTTAAGAGGTCTCTAAGGAAACCAAGCAAACTCTGGTGAGATGACAGGCCTGAAACCTCTTTCACATGCAGCCAGGACGAGAGGCAGAGATCCCAGAGTCTTCTCATGTCATCCACCAGGGGACACTACTCTGAAGGGTACAATGTTAACGAGCCCGGCCGGGGCATGGAGCACATTCTGCGAGTCTCTCCAGGAGGAGGCTGACAAGAGCCTTGTTAGGCAGTGAGGGCTTGGGGAGAGCTCCTTAGTCAAGACCCTCAGTTACTTACCTTGCTATGAGAGGAGGGAGCTTTGTTTCCATAGCTAAAAATGGTGACTCTATCTAAGCAAATTTGAAAACCAGGAAGTTTCATAATAAATAATGCTAAGTATATGCTTAATTCCACTTTCTTACCATCTCAACAGAGCAGAAGTATTACTTCAAACAAGCCACATGGGGATTTTAAATGGGGTCTGTCTTGTTTTTTACTTCCTAATCATTTGCTTGAGATGGGTAGTCCTCCCATAACATGGTCAAGAAGATGGGCCTATACAGAATGTGGACACAGTTGGCCCTGAATCTTCTACCAGACTTTTCTATCCATAGTTCATAGTGAATGCTCTTCTAAAACATCACGTCTAGACAAATACTCACGGCTGCCATCAATGACTGTAGAAGTGGTTGGCAAAGAGATCTCCTGGAACTGTGGTGACACAATGGCAACGGGAGGCCGATTCTTACGAGGCTCTGCAGGAAAATGACCCAGAAGAAATTGGACGAGGGGCTTTCTAAATTAGAGGAGGAGCAGGCCTATGTGAATGGATTATAAATCTGCTTCCATTACATAATTGATTTATTGGTTGCAGCATCACCAAATTAGAAAGTCATAAGACCAGGCTGCCATTCTACCATAAGATACCTGGAAGTGTTAAACCCTCTTCCAGGCCTGAAGATAGGCTCTGGTGCTGTCTTGTTCATGAAAAGTACTACAGCAGCACAAGCTGAGTAGAGGTGGATAACAAACAAGCTTTGTGCAATAAAGGCCTTGGCAAGCAAACTATTCCTTGGCACGGACTGTGCTAAAAAGACAATGGGAGATTTCTCAACCATCCCTGAGCTGATCGTGTGTGAGGTGACTAGGCCTGAGTGATGGGAGGGTCACAAACCACACTGTCTACTCAAGTGACTGTGAGCTAAAAACCCAATGGCCTTTTGAGAAATAATCCAATGGTCTTGATGTTAAACACATTTTTAATAAAGTGAAAGGACTACCTTGGTTACAAAGTTCAAGGAACAAAGAGAAAATAAAATCTATTACCAACAAAGGCAGAAAATACCATTTTCCAACTTCCCCCAAATTTCCCTGAAAATGCAAAACAAGATACTTTGCTACTGCACTGTAATTTACCAATGGTGGATCAGTTAAAAAAGAATGATGGGATTTGGTTTCCAAAGTGAAAGAAGACTGGCAAGGTTTAAATGAGGAATTTTGTGTGCAAAACCCGTATCTGGAAAGAGATCAGAAAGAGCCAGCCATTTGGCTGATTCTCCTTCTACATACTTCTCCTAAGCTCCTGGCTTTCTTGTGTCTCTTAATCACAACACATGGTCCTCTCTCAGCATGACCTACTTGGAGAAGTAATTCTCAGACAGACAGGCTATCGTTCAGGCCATACTGCACTGGGGGCCATGTGACTACTGTTTCTCCACCCAGCCAAATGTTCCAACTAGAACCAAAGTATATACTCTGCCACCTTAATCTTTTACTACATTGAACTAGGAATTGCCCAGTGAACATATTAAAAAAAAAAGAAAAAAAAAGAATGGGAAACAAAAACCCCTCAAGTCAAATCTCCCTCTCTTTGGGAATCCTGCAGAGGGAGCAATGGAGACTCAGCTACAGCTTGGAAACACATACCTGGTTTTACTGTCACGTTCACATAGCCTTCCCCATGGGTATTTTGACCATCTACAATCACTCTGAATTCATACAGGCCTGGAGTAAGCTGCGGGAGTGAAAGAAGACAACCACAAAGAACAGCAATTCTATGTAAAATAACACATATATCTGAACTTGCCATGCTGATACTGAACTCTCTTTTTGCACTGTTTCCAAAATGGAGAAAGTAAACTAGCTAAGGAGATGAAACAATGAATTATAAACTAAAAAACCATAGCTTTTAATGTGAATCTTATTACCAGCTGACTCTAGAACAACAAAAGGGAATTCAATATCTCTATACTCCCATTTTCTTTTCAGAAGAACATTAAGGGCCCAACCATCCTATTTCACAGAGTTATGAAATTAAAATAATCATCTGTGCAAAGAAAACCATTTTGTAAAACTACCAAATAGCTCCCAAATATCTGAATATTTTTCCCTCCTGATTTCCACTAATGGTATAAACATAATATAAAGAAAATCACCGACAATCCCACTGTCTTAACACATCAGGTAACTGTATTTTTTCTCCTTCCAATCCTTGACCACATATAAAAAAATAGTTTTTAAGTAGTTCATTCATTCAGCAAACATTTACTGAGAACCAATCATGTACTGGACATTATCCTAGGCTTGGGGTTTAGAGATGAATAAGATAAGATTACTACCGTCAAGGAACTGGACTTTCAGGGTCCAGTTAAAATCAAGGTGTGCATCAAGCTTTTTTGTTGTTCTTGTTATTTCATGTCTTTTATTAACCCATATAGAATTCCTTGTCTTCCAGATTATTGAAGCAACAGGTCAGAAAACACTTACCAAAATAATGCCAAAGTGGCTAGTAATAAAAACTCCAGCACCACATTCATCTGAAAGGCACTCCAGATGAAGGTGATTGATTTGGCCATTCTCATCCACCTTATGGTATTTCAAGACAGACAGCTGAACCTTCTTTCTCTTATGGTTATTCTTCTTGGGAGTGGTATAAGACTTCTTCCTTTCCTTCCTTCCTCTTTTTTTTTTTTTTTAAATGTTTACTTTTGAGAGAAAGAAAGAGAGAGAGAGCACGAGCAGGGGAAGGGCAGAGACAGAGAGGGAGACAGAAAATCCTAAGCAGGCTCTGCACTGTCAGCACAGAGCCTGATGCGGGGCTTGATCCCACAAACCGGAGATCATGACCTGAGCTGAAATCAAGAGTCAGATGCTTAACCAACTGAGTCACCCAGGCTTCTCTCTTCTTCCTTTTCTTAGCACCACCACAAAGTCGCAACAGAAGATGAAGAGTGGACTCCTTTTGAATGCTACAGTCAGATAAAGTATGTCCATCTTCCAGTTGCTTGCAAGAGAAGATCAGTCTGTGCTGATCAGGAGGAGTTCCTTTCTTATCCTGAATCTTGGCCTTTACATTTTCTATTGTATCCAAGGGTTCAACCTCGAGAGTGATGATCTTCCTCATATGGGTTTTCATGAAAATCTGCAACTTGGCAGTGGTTCCACTGCAGATGGTGGATCGGAAAGAGAAACCCGCATCAAGCTTTTTATTATTCTTTCTTCTGTTCATGTAACATGAACACTTTCCTCAGTATAACAGTCTTTTTAATGGTCATTTTAAAGCTACAGAATAGGGGCGCCTGGGTGGCGCAGTCGGTTAAGCGTCTGACTTCAGCCAGGTCACGATCTCGCGGTCCGTGAGTTCGAGCCCCGCGTCAGGCTCTGGGCTGATGGCTCGGAGCCTGGAGCCTGTTTCCGATTCTGTGTCTCCCTCTCTCTCTGCCCCTCGCCCGTTCATGCTCTGTCTCTCTCTGTCCCAAAAATAAATAAATGTTGAAAAAAAAAAATTTTTTTTTAAATAAAATAAAATAAAATAAAATAAAGCTACAGAATAGTACATGAGTGACTGTGTCATATCACATAGGCATTCCACATTGTTGAGTATTTGGGTTGTTTCCAGATATTTATGCTGTGATGAACATCATTCAGACAAATGAGGTTTTTCCTTTCTTCTGAATTATGCTCTTTGAGAACATGCTAACTGACTAACATTTCTGATGTTTTTCTTCTTGTAACGCTTTTATTTCTTGGCTTTCACTTCTCTGTCCACTCCTCATTTCCTTCAGTTTCTTCTTCCTTCCACACCTTTAAGGACAACATTCCCCAGGATTCTAATTGCAACCTGTTTATTTCTTCACTGTACGCACTGTCTCTGGATGATCTCATCTATTACCATGGTGTCAGTGTCATTTCTTTGAGGTTGCTGTGAAGATTTATCTCTCTAGCCCAGATCTGTGTCCTGATCTCTAGTCCCTGATCCCAGCTACTTCCTGGACACCTCCACTCAAATGTTTCACATTTGAGAAATCAAAATCACTCAAAATCACTCTGTCCAAAAATGATTTAATCATCTGTAAACCTCACCCAAACTTGCTTCTCTTTCTGTGTTCCTCATTTCAGTGAATATCACCACCGTCGCACTGACATCTACCCAGGTGCCTAAGCCAAAAGGCTAGAATTATCCTAGACTTTTCTTCCTCAACACCACCACCCAATTAATTGATCACCAGGTCTAATTGAGTCAACCTCCATATAATATTTCTCACATCCACTCACTTCTCTCTGTTCACATTGCCATCACCTTAGATTTCAACGATCACAGCACAGATGTTAAAAGCAAGAGCTTCAGGAATGGAAAGTTCCAGTTCAAATCTACCAATTAATAACAGCATGAACTTTGGCTAAATCACTTAATTTTTCTAATTTTTAGTTCTGTCATTTGTAAAACAGATATTAATACCTACATGTTGGGGTTGTTATGAAGATAAAATGAAATAAGTGCATAAAACAATTAGCACTATGTCTGGCACATGGTAGGAACTCAACAGGTGATCTTTAAGTTATTTATTTAGTTTTTTGAAGTGCCTGGGTGGCTCAGTTGGTTGAGCATCTGACTTTTGATTTTGAACTCAGGTCATGATCCCAGGGTCATGGGATCAAGCCCCACATCAGGCTCTGAAGTGAGCGTGGAGCCTGCTTGGGATTCTCTTTCTTTCTGTCCCTCTATCCCTTTCCCCCACTTATGCTCACTCTTTCTCTCTCAAATGAAAACAATTTTAAAAATAAAACTTTATTTATTTAGTTTTTTTTTTTTTACTCAGGCTATTACCATCTCACACCTACATTTTTCAACAGATTCTCCATTGGTTTCCCTGGTTTGAGTCTTACCTCCTCTAATCTGCAGGCGGGGTGATCTTTCTAAACTGAAAATCTAAATAAGTCTTTCTGCTGTTTAAAACCTTTCAAAAGCTCCCTAGTCCCTATGGATAAGCTTCTAAGTCCTCAGGTTGGTGTAAGACTCTGTGTGATCTGATCCCTGCATCTCTCTGACTTCTTTGTGCCACTGCTCTTCTCGTGCTAGAGGGTCCAGTCACACTGAACCACATGGAATTCCCTTTTTCCCACATTTTCCCTCTAATATTTGGCCCAATGGATATATTGCTTCTCCTGCATGGGGTATCTGCACTCCATCCTTTACCCAGCACTCCATCATGACCAAGCCAGGCAAACTCTAAGAAATCAAACTCCCCGGGGCTTCAATACCCCCTGCACCAACCTAGTGCATCCCCTGTTATAACTGCCTGCTTCTGCTCAGTATCACCCATGAGACTCTATTGTCCTTGAATGTGAAGATTTTGATCAATTCACTGGTAAATCTCCAATGCCTGACACATAACTAGTATACAATGAACAATGCAAAAAAGAGAAAGAAAGAAAGAAAGAATGAATGAATGAATGAATGAGCATGCTCGGCCAAAGAATATGAACATTTTTATGGCTCTTAATAACTACACTGAATCTCAAAAAAGACTGAGCCAATTTACACAGTCTTGTGGCCGCAAAAAACTTAGCTTATCTCCCAAATTCTAAAATCCTTATGTTACCCTTAAAAGCTGTTTAGTGTATATTTTCAGCTATCACCACCATGCTTATACAGTCTTCTCACCATAAATGAACATTTGAGAGTCATACACTAACAAATACTGGATGTCAGCCAGACTTTTGGAGGATTCACTTCTGAAAGACTTCCTGATTTAAGTGTGAGCAGAAAATTTTACATTACACATTTTAGAAAATGGTCAGCACCTCTTTCCTGGCCCCACAAATGAGAGGAGGCAAATTCACCTTGGATAGTTTGAGGATCTGGGAATGTTTCCCTTCCATCTCGCCACTGTAGTCTTCGGGATGAGTAATCAGCTGCCAGTCGTAGGTGTAGGTTTCTCCTATAGAAGGGCAGTTACAAAAATCATGAAAACACACACCTACACACAAGGAGGGCAGCCACACATCCTGCCAATAACAAATCTCTTTTAAATCTTGACAAGGATTTAGTTTTTAAGATTCCACCCCAAAGCCTATAGGGAAAACCAAATGTTTTGTTGAAAAAAGAGATTCTGCTGACTCAGCTACAGTCAGGGCTTCTTCTACTTTCTCCCAGCAGTGCTCTTTCCTGCCCCATATCCACCTTCCCATTGAGAGAGGCCAATCCTCCCTCCAAATACTGGGTTGCTCATGGTGTGGTGTCACACTGAAAGTACATGCCCTACCAATCACTATAGATGAACTTACTGGGAACAAAGGCCATTTTCTTGCAAAACTTCTTTTGCAACAAAGAACAGCAATGACTTCTAAATAACATGGTTCAAAAATAGCTTTTTTACAGAGTGCTAACAATGCTTGTCTCACTGAGGTCATCACACCCTGGTGAGTTAAAAGAGCTACTTCATTCCTGCTGAGCTAAATAACACACTGCAGAAGATGGTAGGGGATGGCCCATTTAAAACAGGCCCCACTGAAATTAATTAAGATCAAATGAAGCATTAAATGGTCCTCATTTGTAGCTCAGACTATATGACTGAGTAGGGCAAGGACAGAATCCTGTTATCTAAATGGAATCCCTCCTTCGTGAAAGTGGTCTTAAATTTGGGGGAGGGAGGAACTAAATTCATGTCTGGCTAGGGAACGAAGGCTTAGTTTACATTACTACTCAAAAGGAAAAAAGAAAAAAAAAAAACCTCAAAAGCATAACAGAGAATGGCCAAACCTAATTCCAAGATAGCCTTCATCTGAAGACCAGATTTTATTTTATAAGCCTAAGATACGAGATCTATTACTCTTCCTTCCTCCCGAAAATACTAGTTTTGTGTTGGCCAGCCGTCAGCCCTGCGCAGCTCTCACAAATGTATTATGCAGAAGTCAGGTTAGGTGAGAAGCAGGAAAGCAACTGCAGCAGTGGGACTGGTGCTAAGAGATGACATTTCTTCCAACTGTAATTGGAAATTTTTTTCCACACAGAAAACAGACTCACACCAGTTTGGGAACTGACAATTTTATAATATCTAAGGCTGGCAATGCAATTTCAAGAAAGGACAATATTCCTAGGACAGAAAAGCTTGGGGGATGCATTATGCCTTACAGCCCAAAATTTGCCCAAGGGTAGGAACAACTGAGGATAGGTCTGCTAGACAGAATGCTGGTTTAAATGATTCAGGGCAGTGGTTTTCAAACCATGCCTCCGAACCCCAGAGAGATCCTGAGAGGCGCTTCAGGGATTGCCACAGGAGATGAGGGGGAGGAAGAGTAGGCAGAGCTGGTCCTGTTCATCTGTCCTCAACCTTTGAAAATCTGAAACCATTCATCTCATGTATCTGATAAAGGCTGAGCAACTCATGGAGAGGAGAGTTGAAAAGAATCTGTTTCTCGGGGCGTCTGGGTGGCTCAGTCAGTTAAGCGTCCGACTTCAGCTCAGGTCACGATCTCACGGTTCGTGAGTTCGAGCCCCGCATCGGGCTCTGTGCTGACAGCTCAGAGCCTGGAGCCTGCTTCAGATTCTGTGTCTCCCTCTGTCTCGGCTCCTCCTCCGCTCATGCTCTGTCTCTCTCTCTCTCTCTTTCAAAAATAAATAAAAACATTAAAAAAAAATTTTTTTTTTAAAAGAAAAGAATCTGTTTCTCAACCTATGTGGTTTGGAATACTGATCTACAAGGTGACAGCACCACACAGACATGAACATGCAAACAGGGGTTAGACAAGAAGATAAGGCAGAACTCAGCTGCTTTTACAAAACAGTGGAGGCAACCACAGCTCAAGGCTGTTCTCTCCTCACCTCCATCTTCAAAGGCCACCCAATTCATTCACCTTAACTTACCACCAGAGCGGGGAAGGAAAAAGCTTCTCTGGAGGAAGTTGGAATGAACTGATAATTTGAGGGCAGACATATAGAACAGAGAGGGCATTTAGGTTCTGGAAAAGTACTTTTGCATAAATATGCTATTTGGTATTAGGCCTATTAGAAAGCAGGACTACTGTACAGGACAAGAGTACATGTACCTAAAATGGGAGGACTCCAACCTGAATCCTAGAGTAGGACATTCTTCTTGACTCACCTTTAATGAGGGGAACATAAACCCAATGCAAACATTTTCCATCAAAGTATGCTTCACTACTGTCAAAGAAAGTTTTAAGAAGCGCATATATGTTTCTAAGTCAAATTCTGGTCTATCAACATATACTTCAAAGGTGAAAGGGATACTCATAGTATAAAAGTTTTCTTAAATACTGAATGAATCGTTCCCTAATTTATATATTTTATAAATCTGAATTTTATGTATCACATTGGGCTTGTCTTTTTTTTAATGTCAAATCTATATTAGCAGTAGTCTTGAATAACTTTTCTACAACTGCTATATCTACTATTTACTAGTTGTTTGGACAAAATAAATAGGTTAACCTAGCCTAAGTTTCTTCCTCTTTCAGTGGGTACAACACAACCTCAGTTTAATGAGCATCAGCTATATGCTAGGCACAGACTGAAGCAAGTCCCTTGTATGCCATCTCATTTTGCCCTTAAAATAACCTCATAAAGTAGAAATTATCCTCATTTTACTAAGAAATAAATGGAAACTTAGAAATAATTTGCTTAAAACCACTCAGATAATGACTGGCTGAGCTGGGATCTGAATCAGGCTTGACATCAAAGCCCATGATCTCAAACACTACATTACACTGCCTCTCGCATCAGATAAATATTTGTGCATGTGCACACTATATCCTGTTCTCACAGGTCTCTTGCAATGAGTAAATGAGTTAAGGTATGTGAATATCATTATAAATTAAAACATTATCCAAATGTAAGGGGATGTTTTACCTTCAAGTGGTTCTTGCAGAACAAATGCATTTAACTGAACTTCATTTTTAGGCAGGGTGATCTGGACACTCTTTCCAGCGGATACCACCAGCTCCTTTATAACTAGAAACAAAGAAAATATACAGGACATAAGAAATTAGATCCAGACTATCTCATTTCTCTCCCTCCTTTGGGGCCCAATTTGTTTTATAAATAATATTCTGCTATTTCCTTTATTTCCTCATTATTTATCTACTTTCTAATCCCCCTGAAATTTGATTCTGCCCCCACTTTTCTCCTGACAAAGATCTTTTGAGGTCATCATCAAATTGATCCTTAGCAAATCCAATAGTTCTTTCTCAACTCACATACTTTACTTCTGTGGCATCTAATAATGCTGACTGCCTCGTTATTAAAACTCTCAGTTATCATGACACCATATTGTTCTACTTTTATTCCTTGTTCTCTGAGTTTTTCTTCACTGTATTTTAACTAGTCTGTCCCTAAGCCCTCTTTATATAGTACTTTCCATAGAGTTCAATAATTAAAGTTCTACAGTGTCTCAAGGATCATCTTTATGCTAATAAATAACCTTCTAATAAAATACATCTGTAACATTCCTGGAAGAAATGCCAAATATTGATCATGAAGCTAACCTTAATAATTTCTTTCTATTCCAATTGCTACAACCATAGACTTAGGTTATTCCAAGAATCTTAACTGGTCTTCCCTCTGCTAACACTCCCCACTGTAATCTATTCTGTCTTCTTCAAATACTACCCCCACCATGTTACTCTCCTACTTAAGACCCCCCACTCCCACACCATGTTCGAGGCCAACTCCTAATCTGGCATTAGAGAACCATTATCATCTGATCACACCACCTCACCTTTCCTACCCAATTCTGCCTCAGCTGTATTCATTTTCCCTCTTGTGCTCCATACAAGACATGGTCTACTCTTGGGGACTTTGCTAATGTTACTTCCTTCAACTGGGCTATATGTTTTCTTTATTCTAAATCAGTACTTTGTTTCTAGCTTAAAGCCAGTCTTCTCTCCAAGAAATCTTCTCAGACCATTTCAGTTCAAACTTACCTATTTCCTGAACTACTTCAGCATTTCTGGAATACCCACATCAGCTAATAGCTATATACATACGCTCTTCATACTATTCAATAACTATCTCATACATGTCTAGGTTTCTCAACCTTGACATTACTGACATTTCGGACCAGATAACTCTTTGTTGTAGGGGGTGGGAGGAACTGTCCTACACACTGTAAGATGGTTAGCAGTATCCCAGGCCCCCACCCACTAGGTGTCAGTAGCAACCCTCCTCCATAATTGTAACAACCAAAAATATTTGCAGGTTATCGAGAACTACTATTATATAAATCTTATTTCTCTGACAATAATTGTCATTTGGCATGACACCTAGGAATTAGAGAGCTTAAAGCAAACAAATGGCTGGTCCATCCATATTTCAACACTGGGGGTCTTGAAACAAATGGCTGGTCCATCCATATTTCTTAGAAAACATGAAATTTGAGATTTATCTGCTTGAGAACACTGCACTTGGGGAGAAAGGAAATCTTCCTTATGGAAGTTTCAGCATTTAGACACCCTAAGAGGTTGAATAAGAATTCTCTGAAGTGACTTTCAGAAAGAGAAAGAAGGAAGGAAGGAAGGAAGGAAGGAAGGAAGGAAGGAAGGAAGGAAGGAAGGAAGGAAAGAAAGAGAAAGAGAAAGAAAAGAAAAGAAAAGAAAAGAAAAGAAAAGAAAAGAAAAAAGAAAAGAAAAGAAAAGAAACCACTATACTCATAAAGAGTGTAATGGACAAAAATATAGCATTGCTCAAACCCTTCACAATTACACCAAAAATTACAGGCATTCTGCCTGAACACAAAAATTACTTTAATACCTCAGGATTGAAACCCCAAAATTTCATGTTATACCACCATGAAAGAAGACCCTAGGAAATCAAAAATCAGCAAAAATTCATTTTCATTGGCTTGGCTTCACCCTGTTGCCTTTTCAGGGGATAAAGAATTAGTTTCCTTGATTAACCACTTCCTCCTAATACCTTAGAACAGCACTCATGAAGCACAGACTTGTTAAGGCAACACTCCTTATAAATTTCCTTCCTATGGGTTGCTTAAAAATAAAGACGCTGCTGAAATCAGAGAGACAAAGAACTGACGTACAATCAGACATTCAGAAGGCAAATAGGTACGTAGATCCAACAGTCTTCCCACTGGCTTCTGTTTGTTTGGTTCCTTGAACATTACTTAATTGAATCTTGTGCCTTTTAGTCCCCAACACAGTGGAATCTGGCTCTGGGCAAAAGAGCCTCATAAATTCTCATAGGCTGGGGCCTGCTGAGAAAAAGGATGGAGAGCCCCAAGTCCTATGATTACAGATACAATGACAGGATTATTATTTTTTCCCCCTAATCCACAGCACTTAAAAGTCATGCCTCCCTCCTTTTCTTGCAGTAAAGGGGACACTGTGATCAAACGCTCTACTTTTCATATCTTATCTCCAAGGACAGAAGCAAAGGGCCTCACCTGGGTATGGTGCTGAGGTGCTCTGGAAAGAGGCCTGGGGGGTAGGGGTAGCATAACTGTAGGAGGGAGCCACTGGCAGAGGGGTAACAATCTGGATTCTCCCAGGGCTTTTTATGTGCTGAGTGCTAGGCGTAGCACCAGGATCCTCTGATGTCTCAGGCTGGACTGACACATTCTTTAACCAACCAGGAGTCTCCGCAGTCAGGACTGTGGTTAAGGGACTGGAAATTACAACGGCCTTGTGGACCTAAAGAAATGCAAACATTCGCTTGAATAGGCAAAAGTTATACAGCCAGTTTTTAGGTTATGTCTCATAAAATAATTACATGTTAAATGTTTTTATGAAAAATGCAAAACTGTCAAAAATATTAAAGAAACTAATCTCACCACCCAAACTGGTGTTCAAATGTTGTTGTCAGTCTTCCCAGTCTTTTTTACTATGCAAAGAGTTTTCCTTAAAACAAAATAGTCATAACCATTCTATGCATACTCTTTTACCTTCTTTTCTCAACATTTACATTAAATCTTTCTACAAATACTTCTTAAGCACTTATGGAACAGGGGCTGTGGATCCAAAATATAAGTAAGACAGAATAGCTGTGCTCAACAAGTGCACGGTCTAGTGGGAGAGAGAACAAAAAACCTAACAAGCCAAAATGATAAATACACCTATAAAGGTTACACTGAGCCCAAAAAGCATGGTCTGAAGAGTACTTATCTCCTCTCTTGAAGAGGGAGCATGTGAAGGACAGTTTCAATAAATAAAGGCTTTTTCTAGAGGACAGTCCTAAGCTGAGTTTAAAAAGGCAAACAGTTTTTTACTAGAAAAAATCTGAGGGGAAAGAGAAATATAGGTACAGGAAATGAGATTAGCATGGCTTGTGTCGGGAGCTGAGAGTCATAAGCAAAGTGAGAGGCAGGAAGTAATGGAGGATGAGCTGGAAAGACTGTCAAGAGCCAAACTAAAGAAGACACATGCTATTTTAAGGTGCCAGGTAGTGTTGAGCAATTACAGTGTTGTAGACAGGGAAGTGACAAGGTCAGGTTTTTGTCTTAAATGGATCATTCAGGTTGCTGCATCATGTAAGGGTTTGAAGAACTAAGACAACAGCAGAAATACCACTTAGGAAGGTACTGCATTCATCCAAATGAGAAATGATGAGCGGCTACACAAAACTGGTGGTATGGATTTTTTTTAATCAACTGAATTGAAGTGTATTTTACAGAAAGTAAACTGCATGCTTTTAAAGTGTATAGGACTATGAGTTTTGACAAGGGTATATACCCAGGTAACCACAATCAAGAGAGAAACCATTTCCGTCAGCCCCAGAAGTTGGCTCATTCCCTTTGCAGTAAATTCCTGCCTCCACCCTCAGGCTCACGCCACCACTGATTTGTTTTCTGTCTCCATTGGTTAGTTTGGGCTTTCTTATATTCCATATAGAATGAATCTATTTCTGGTCACGTACTATTTTTGTTTCTGGCTGCTTTCACTCAACATATTTAAAAAAAATTTTTTTTAATGTTTTTATTTATTTTTGAAGGAGAGAGAGACAGAGCATGAGCAGGGGAGGAGCAGAGAGAGGGAGACACAGAACCCGAAGCAGGCTCCAGGCTCCAAGCTGTCAGCACAGAGCCCAACGTGGGGCTCGAACCCACCAACTGCAAGATCATGACCTGAGCCAAAGTCGGACGCTCAACCGACTGAGCCACCCAGGCGCCCCTCACTCAACATATTTTAAAGATTCATCCATGTTATTGTGTATATCAGTAATTCCTTCCTTTTTATTACTGAGTAATATACCATTCTAGAGATATACCAAAATTCATTTACCCATTCATCTATTGATAGAGATTGAAGCGGTTTTCAGTTCTCAGCTCTTGTAAATAAATCTGCTATAAATGTTTGAATACCAAAGTTTCTGTTAACATGTGTTTTAATTTGGGGTAAATACTCAGAAGTCTTTATTGCGGGTTACATATAAGTGTATATTTAAGTTTATGAACTGTTATCTAAAGTGGCTATACCATTTTGCATTTCTACCAGCAATGTATGAGAGTTCCAGGTACTCCACAACTTCACCACACTTGGTATTCTTGGTCTTTTTATTTTTCATCATTCTAGTAGTATCTCACTGTGATTTAATTTGCATTTTTTTGATGACTAATGAGGCTGAATATTTTTTTATGTGTTTACTGGCCAGTCATATGTTTTCTTTAGTGACATTCAAATCTTTGTCCACTTTTTTTTTTTACTTTATTAAGACATAACTGACATACAATAAACAACATATTTAAAGTGTACAATTTGACAAATTTTACTATATGCATACTTTGAAACCATCACCACAATCAAGATAATGAGCATATCCATCACTTCCAAAGATTCCTCATGCTCCTTTGTAATCCCTTGTCCCAACTCCCAGCCCCAAGCAACCACTGCTCTGCTTCTGTCACTACAGATTAGTTTGCATCTTCTAGTATTTTATATAAACAGAATCACATTCTATGTACTCTTTTTGTCAGCTTCTTTCACCCAGCGAAATTATTTTGCTATTTGTCCACATTGCTGTCTGTATCAGTACCTTTTCCTTTATGATTGCTGAGCAACGCATATATTAATATACCACAATTTGTTTATTCATTCACCAATAGATGGACATATGGGCTGGTTCCAGTTTTTGCCTATTACAAATTGACCTGCTATAAATATTCCTCTATAAGTCTTTGTATGAACCATATATCCTTTCATTCCTCTTGTGTAAATATCTGCAAGTAGAATGCCTGGTCATAAGGGAGATATGCCTTTAACTTTAAAAAAACTACCAAACTATTTTCCAAAGTTGTATCATTATATAGTCCCACCACTGGTATGAGAATTCCAGTTGTTCTACAACCTTGACAGAAATTGGTTTTTTTGTCTTTTTAAGTCTTTTTAAGTTTAGACATTATGGAGGTGTGTAATGGCATCTTATTGTTGTTTTAATATGCATTTTCCTAATGATTAATAAGTATCTTTTCATGCATTTATTGGACATTTTTGTCCCAACACTGTATTGGATTGTATGAATTCTTTGATGGGCTATCTGTTCAAATCCTTTGCTTTATTATTAGTTTTCTGATTAAGTTCAACAGCTCTTTATGTATTCTAGAATAAGAGCTTTGTTGGGTATTTAATTTGCAAATATGGTTTCCCAGTCTGTAGCTTGCCTTTTCATTTTTGTTACTGGTGTCTTTTAAATAGCAAAAGTCTATAATTTTTCATTCTAATTTATCATTTTTTTTCTTTTATGGTTCATGCTTTTAGTGATATGAGTTTATTTATTTATTTAATGACAAGATCACAAAAGGGTTCTCCTGTGTTTTCTTCTATAAGTTTTATAATTTGAGCTCTTACATTTAGGTCTATGATCCATATGAGATAATTTTTCTGTACAGTAGGAGGTAAGGGTCAATGTTCATGTTTTTTCATATCACTATCCAATTGTTCCAGCATCTATTTATTGAAAAGATTATCCTCTCCCCATGGACTTGCCTTGGCACATCAACTAACCATATTTGCGTGGGTCTATTTCTAGATGTTATTCTGTTTCACTAATTTAGTCTATCTTTACACCAATACTACTGCTTTGATGACTGCAGCTTTACACTAAGTCTTAAAGCTACAGAGTTTAAATCTTCCAACTCTGTTGTTTATTTTCAAGGTCGTTTTGACATTCTAAGTCCCAATCCATGAACATGATTGTACCAGTTTTCTAGGGCTGCCATAACAAATTACCACAAACTTAGTGGCCTAAAACAACAGAAACTTATTCTCTCACAGTTCTAGAAGCCAAAAGTTTGAAATCAAGACATTTGCAGGGCCACAATCCTACTGAAGGCCTTTGGGGAGACCTTCTTTGCCTCTTCCAACTCCCAGAGGCTCTCAGCATTTCTTGGCTTGTGGCAACATAACTTCAATCGCTATCTTCATCTTCACATGACTGTCTTCCTTGTGTCTCTCTGGGTCCAAATCTACCTTTGCTTCCTCATGAAAAGACACCAGGCATTGGATTTAGAGTCCACCCAAAATAAATAAAGAATGATTTCAACTTAAGATCCTTAACTAACTACATCTACAAATATCCTATTCCCAAATAAGGGCAAATACTGAGGTCCCAGGAGGACATTATTTTGAAGGGAACACTCTTTTTTATTTTTTTTTTTTTAAATTTTTTTTTTTCAACGTTTTTATTTATTTTTGGGACAGAGAGAGACAGAGCATGAACGGGGGAGGGGCAGAGAGAGAGGGAGACACAGAATCGGAAACAGGCTCCAGGCTCTGAGCCATCAGCCCAGAGCCTGACGCGGGGCTCAAACTCACGGACCGCGAGATCGTGACCTGGCTGAAGTCGGATGCTTAACCGACTGCGCCACCCAGGCGCCCCATTGAAGGGAACACTCTTACAATGCGGTATTATTTCTCCATTTATTTAGTTCTTTACTTTCAGCGATGTCTTACAGTTTTTGGTATGTAGCTCTTGCACATATTTTGTTAAATCCATCCTTAAGTATTTTATGTTTTTGTATGCCATACATTTTTTATTTTTATTTTTCTTAATGTTTATTTAGAGAGAGAGACAGAGCATGCACGCAAGTGGAAGAGGGGCAGAGAGAGAAGGAGAGAGAATCCCAAGCAGGCTCCACACTGGCAGCCCAGAGCCCAACACGAGGCTCTATCTCACGAACCATGAGATCATGGCCTGAGATGAAATCAAGAGTCAGATGCTTAACCAACCAAGCCATCCAGGCACCCTGGATGCTATACATTTTTAAAAACTTCAATTTCCAAGTATTCATCACTAATATATAAACACAATTGATTTTTGTATATTGGTCTTATATCCTGATGCCGTTCTGAATTCCCTTAAATAGTTCCAGTAGTTTTTGTGTAGATTCCTTGGAATTTGGGGGGTACATGATTCTATCATCTGTGAATAAAGGCAGTTTTCCTTCTTTATCTCCAATCTGTATTCCTTTAATTTCTTTTTCTTGCATTATTACATTAGCTAGGACCTCCAGTACAATGCTGAGTAAAAGTGGCTAGAGCCACTATTTGCTGGGCAATGTTCATCTTGTTTTCCTTTGTATCTTTGAACACGGGTTCCTTTAACTTTTTAAGCATGTTTTTAACAGCACTGAAGTCTTGCTAAATCTGACAGCTGAGTCCTCTCAGAATTCACTTCTACTGATTACTTTTCTTTCCCT